GTTGTGGGCTGTATTGGTTGGGCGGTCCTGTGCGGTCCTGTGCGGGTCGTGGGTTGTGGTCTTGTAGATCACCACCTCAAAGAGCTGTTTGTGGGTGCATTGTTGAATGGTCTTCGCGAATCCTATACTTTAACAGTAACAGATCATCCCCCCTCCAGCACGGTATCCTTCATGAAGCAGATAACAGTCAACTTCCAGCGCCTCCAAACAGCTGTTCCAAACATGAGGATGTTTCCGTGTTGTTCATCATGAACCTGAAGTTGCTGTGGGACCGTCGGAACACCACAGATCTTGGGATCGACTGTGTCACCATCCGTCGCTGGCTGAGCACCATTGGGTCGCCGGCTCGAACCGACCCGGACCCAGGGATTTGGCAACTGAGGAACCCAACCTCTTCCACCTTCACGTCCCGAAGCATAGAGGAATCTGTGATGTCTTTTCCATGTGCTCTGGAAGGATCCCTCTCGATCAAGAGCAGTGCCACCAGCTTTCCACTGGTTCGATTTTCGGTAATCCACCAGTGCGTTTTGTCATCACACGAACTGATGGAGCGGACTCCTGGAACTCCACCGAGTCCATGGATGGTGCGGCTTTTGGTCGATTCTTCTTCAAATCTCCACGTGGGTGAAGCCCAGTCCCAAACAGAAAGATGGAAATGGATGTTTCCCCAACCATTTCCAACCAGTTCCATTCATTTTCCGATGCAAAGGATCTCAAGCTGGCGCCAGCCAGACTGGGTTCCAACCAGCCCACTGTTTCATGCGACCGGGACTGGGTTCCGCCGCCCGTGGCGAGAACGATCGCAGCTCGAATCGGGTGTGACGTGGCAGGATGGTCCATGTGCTCCTTTGGTCTACACTAGAGGGTCTCTTCCAGAGAGGTCTTCCTGACGAGTATGACTTCATGACTTCATCATGGAGGACACCAAAAGACCTGGATCTAGTGGTGGCACTTGTTACTACCTGGATCTATTCAGCATGGTTTGTTGTACGTGACGGCCCATGTCAATCTTCCGCTGCAGCCCTGCAGCCCTGGCTCGCCTTTTTCGCGCGGGGGGGTTCGGGCGATCTGAGAGCGAACTCACGGAACCCCGCAGGTGGAACTGGGAGAATTGGGTGGGATGGGTGGGTCTTCTCTTTGAGCTGGTATCTTCAGATGCAAGAAGATGGTTTCATCGTTTTGAGTGCAAAATCTGATGGTGCCATTTCAGTGGTAGTGGTGGAGGTGACAGAAGGGCTGGGGGTTTTCATTCGAAGGCGTCGCCATCAAATCCTTTTCTTTGAATGGAATGAATGGAAGCAAGATGAAGATATTCATAACGAAATCTGCAAGGAAAATTAAGAGAAGAAGCGTTTGCATGGCCAACTCTTTCTTGCAAATTTGGTGATCGTCCAAAATCAAGTCTGAACACCGTCGATGTTCTCCCAGACCACCTGGCAGTTGCTGATAATCATACCAGGCTTGACATCTTCACCTCTGAAACACAATCTTTCTGGTTCAACCAATATTGAGGCCAAAGGCTGCTGTGTGGTGCTAATCCACTTTGGAGCAGTTTCTTCTCTTGGGACAGCAAAAGAAGTTTCAGTTTCAGAGTTTTCTCACCGATGGGGTTAGCAAGCTTTGCCGGAACCGAAGTCTATGTTTTTCAGACATCAAGACCAGGTACAAGCTCCTGCGGACTCTTCCATTACTACTACACGCTTCTTGGTCTCTAAATAAGTGTTCTGGAACCTACACAGGCCAGTCTGTTAATATGTCAACTTTTCTGAAAGGCCTTGGTGAGGAATTCATCATTCAGAAGCATACATCCTGCATGTGGATGTCGTCATATCCCTGCCCCGCAGACACGGGTCACCCTGCCCCACGCACCCTACCACACGCCTGCGCACGCACGCCTGCGCGCGCACCTGATGGGCGTCGACACCGCTGAGGTTCTGACGTTCCTTTTTCGTTCGACGCGATGCTGGAGGGTCTTCTCAGCGCGACCAGCAGCCTCGAAGTGAAGTCGGCCCTTCTGGGAGGCGCGCGGCGTGGCGCTTCCGCTTCCGTCCGTCCGTTGGGTCGGTCGACGCGTGTGGGGCGGAGGGGCGGAGGGGCGGTGTAGGGCGACCAGTTCAGCGAGCGATTCTTCGGTCGCCCGTGGAGCTTGGGTTGAACATCTCTTGACTTGAAAAGCTTGACCCCCTCGGCTTCCAGGACTTTTGGCCTTGCTCGTGCATGTCCTGAAGGCGGGGAAATTCCTGTGGGATGGGAAGTCCAAATTTGTGGTCTAGACCTGCGCTGTGGACCTGCTGCAGCGGAAAAAAACACGCAGACAATTCGACGTTTTCGGGAGCAGACGTGATCGAGGATGATTTTGGATTAGAACATATTGACATAGTGGCGACCCATAGAAGACTAATGAAAACTATTATATATACCAGAGACTGCGCTGAGGAAGATCGCCTGAGGACTGATAGAATCTATAGAAGTCTCTACCCGAGGCAAGATGGGGTCCCCAGTGAAGATCATGCTGAAGACGAAGTCTCAAAGAGCTTCGATGCCCACGGATGGAATTACATTCTTCAGATCAAAGAAACCACTCGTCGATCCTACTCATATCGCAGCATCCATCCTTTGCACTTGCTACTACTGGGTGCTCTGGCGTTCCTCCAACGCCAGAGGCCCTCTGGGCGCGAGACCGCGGAGACTGCGGAGACCGCGGAGACCTTGCACGTGGGTGGCCCCCCGCGGATCCTTTGGGCCTTGCTGTGCTGCAGTTTGGGAGGCGCGGTGCGGCAGGGGCGAACTTTTGGTCGAGCGAAGAAGGGCGGGTCTCTTCGAGCCGAGCAAGTCTACATATAGAAGTGCGCGCAGGACAAGGTGCAGGACCAGTTCTCGTCACGAAGAAACGTTGAAGACATGCAACATGATCTAAGAAGTCTTGTGTCGCTCCCGCGAAGAAGACTGTTTGCTGTTTGACCGGATCGGGCAGGGCTGTCAGTGCATGCGGCCAAGAATGCTGTGGAGCATGGGCCGTTTTCGGTGACCTTGAGGTGGGGTCTGTGGGTCGCTACGGACATCGGCCCAGTTCACCATTTGCCGCGAACGACCCTCCAGGTAGGTCACACAAGCTATCCTGGTTTTGACCCAAAGCCATAGATTTGGAAAGTCGCAGTTGATTTAGGACATACACCTTGTACGAAGCATCTCTCTATGCCCAGCCCAGCCATGGACTAGATGCACATCACCTGAATCGCACAAGCCCCCACTCCCCGGACCAACCTGAATACTATCCGCAATGCAGCAACAGTTCTTGATGCTTCTCAAGATGATGTGCATCATTTGCATTCCCATGATCAAAAAATCCAAATCAACCAACCCTTCCAAGCCGTGCGTGGCCTGGCGAGGCGGCAGGTGATCCCGCTTCATAGCGACTGGGCATGGTGATCCCGCTTTGCGGGGGCGCAGCTGGGGGCAAAACAACCTGGTGGAACACAGCAGTTTTGGTGATATGATGTGACGTGTATGGTATTTTTTGAACTTGAAACGGATTTTGGCTAGCAGTTTGGGTTTCAGATCATGGATCTGTTGATAGTACCAGTATGGTTCATTCTCCTAGTGCTTGGAAACCTCCCTGAGTAGTCTGGCTAGGCACGGAAACCTGGCAATGGTGCTGGTCTTCCAGTCGGTTTTTGCCGAGTTGCTCGCCTACTCCAGTGGTCTACAGTCTACAGCAGCAAAGCCCTCCACGGGGCATTTCTATTCTCCGAAAGGTACCTGATGGATCTTCAGAGTGATGTTGACATCAAAGTTATTCCAGGATATATGAAGTCCAGGATATATATTCCAGGCTATTAAAACAATGGTGGTTCGACTTCTAGGGAAGTGAGATGACAGTCCGCCAACTCATGCTTCGTGACCTCTTCAGGCATCCGCCCCTCCGATCGCCGCTCCGCCTCTCTTCTCTGCCGCACCCTGGGGCCGTGAAGACAAGCCGAGCACCGGCTGAGAGCACCGGCTGAGCACGGTGAGCCCTGGATCGTCCGAACTTCATCTATAAAACCAGCCAAGGTCGGAAGTTGGCAGACATTTGGCATAGTGGGAAGATCCAGGTACCTCCGGGCGGTTCCGAGAATGACGTCGGTTCGGGGGGTTCCGAGGTTCGGATGAGTTCGGTTCGGGCGGGGAGACTGCTTCGAGGTGAGGATGGTGTGGTGCACCACAAGAGCGCCTACTACGGGGAGATCTCCGTGGGCTCACCGCCACAAGCCTTCGAGGCGGAGGGAGTCACCTCTGGGCGTTTGGTGGCGGAGAAGACGGGAGATGAAGAGATCCGTGGATTGGTTCACATCCAAAAGGGGACGATCAGAGCATCAAGAAAGAAGGAGAATGCACAGGTCTCCTTGGCAGTGAGGGGCCCGGGGCTTCACCGGTCAAACCGGGTGCGGCAGTGAGGGTGGTGACTCCGGATGCCATTGGCTCTTTTTTTTTGGCGACGCACGACGGGAGTTTTCTGATTTTGGACTTCTAGGGATTTAATTTCGTGCAATTCGGAGTTGACATTTGGTACCCTTTAGACATCTCTGCTTGAGCCGTCGCAGGTTTTTCGTGTTGAAACCGCGCTCGGTTTCAACGGAAGCCTCCGTGTCAGGTGGTCTTCGACACCGGCAGTGGACACCTGGTCATGGCCTCAGATGTCAATGCTTATTGGATGATCCGGACTCAAGTGCACATCGGGGATGGAGTGTCTACTAGCAGTTTTCGACCCACGTTTTGGTGAGGTTCACATCCTTTTCACTTTTCACCCAAAGACTTTCTGAACTTCCCCTACCAGTTCCAGTCCCTTTAGCACCTGCATCCCCGCAACAGTCCAACATCTGAGGGTCACGTAACCTGCTTGGAGCCATTCCCACCTCACCCCGCATTCCCACGCATTCCCAGGACAACCGCGAGACACACGAGACCGAGACACGTGCGCGCGTTCTCCGCCGAGACACGCAGAGGTGCTGCCCTCGGTGATGTGTCGCTCGGCCACCTGCCTGAGCCACCGCCGCTACCGGCGCCGAGCCTCGCTGGTGCCTGGGGTGATGGATCGTGCTCGATCGGCGGATGGGGTGAGGGGGATGGGTGGGGAACAGGTGGGGGAATAGGAAGAAAAAGGGTCAAGAAAAGACCCTGGGTCCCTGGGCTGAAAAGAGATGGGTGGAGTTTCAGGATGAGGAGTCTCAGGGTTCTTGCTCCAAAGTCACCCAGCAGTGGTGATGAACTAATAGTTCATCATCAGCTCCTGGCTTCAGCTAAGGAGTTCACTGTGCTTCTCAGCGAGGCATCCACCTATAGGTGGATCAACATGATCTATCAACAATTCACCTCACATTCTGTCCAGTCTTTGGCCTATGGGGTGGGGGTTTCTGAGCAGATGACGCCAAGCTCGATGGCTCCATTGGAGGCGACATACCTACTCCGTGGGACGCGGGTCTGTGCCACGTTGTTTCTGCTGCTCCTCTAGTAGTTCCAACTTCCCAAACATGGACCCCCCGGTGGGACCGGAGGCCGGTCCGGCCGGCATGGCCTCGGGTGTTCGCCGTCGAAGACCGGCGCCGCAACAGCTGCATGGCCTGGCACCTGATCGCAACTCCTGAATGTAAAAACCAACACACCTTGTCCTTGCTGGGTTGGGGTGCTCCCCGAAAAATCCTCCCGGTGGGGTGCGGTGACCAGGCCAAAACCCTCCAGGCCAAATCCATGACCGCTCGGGCGCGTCGCTTCACCTCATCAGGTCGCTCAAGACATCGATGTGGATGGGACTCCAGTGCTGCCGAACCAGGCGACGTCCGCGTTTTCAACACGCGGTCCTGGACGGACGCGCGAGCGGCGTGTTCACCAGCTCAGATGTTCCCGTCAGAGATGGTCCAATTGGACCAGAGAAGGCACGTAAAAAAAACACATGAATCTGCCTTCTCTGGGCGGCGTTTCCTTTCTTCTTTCTCTTACTCCGGTTTTCCATTCTTTTTCGACAAACTTAGCCTCTCGGGGTCGACACCCACGCTGCTTGGAGGCCCGGGATCAGATTACCGTCTCCTACGGCACGGGGGAGATCACCGGCATTTTCGTGTGGCTTGGGCGGATGAACGGTAAGGGTCTGGTCGGTCTTGCGCTGTAGACTCAGTGTAGACTCTTCCATTCGAACCTGAGTGATCTCATATGTTGGAGCATCAACCACCCAAAAATAGGGTCTTTCTCTAGCAAAACATCAGAACAGAGGTCAAATAAGATCTAGGTTGATGATATTTCAACCCCCCAGGACATGGATTGTAACACAGAGTCTTTCGATTAGTTCATGTAAAGGGCAGTCTCCGAGGGTGGATGCTGAGGTTGTACCTTCCTTCGTGGGACCTTTCAGTAGAGCCATCCTCAAGTGGAATCCACACCTTCGATTTGGATCCAGCATCCCCACAGGCTGATGGCTTGACCAATGGTCTCAAGAAGTGCAAGAGAAATGTTCCAGCATACCCATCTCGGTTGACCTTGCGGTGATTCGACTCCTCTTCAATCAACCAAGTGCCAATCACAAAAGATGAACACCCATGGGAAATCCACCTCGTACCATCTGAATCTATCTAAATTTGACACAGATCAGAACTTGCGAGAGCCTCCGCTACAGCAGTCTGACAGAGGCACCATACACGGCTGGCCGTCCGTGCGCCAATCGCCCATCAAGTCTCGAGGCAAGACAAGGTCTGTCTGGGCCCCAAGAAGGCAGGCGGCAGTCGAATCGTGGAATATTGGCATTGGTAGAAAAGAGTAAAAGAATCATCCATTGTCAATTGCCATCATATCAACCTACTATTTATTATCAATTATATAGCTATCAAAATACCCGAAAGCTTGCACGGATGCGCTCAGACAAAGAGACTCGTCCCGCCAGGCCACCCCGGCGACCGATGTCCGCGCGCGCGGCGCCGCGGTGCATGCTGGGATGTCGGGAAGTGCCACGGGCGCCTCGCTACTGCAGTCGCTTGGCACGAGGGACGGGACTCGCGCACGGAGCTTCGGACGTCCACGCTGCGTTTCTTTCCTTTCATCACTACAGTGGTCCCCGAAAATGAGTGGCAAAAATGCCCTTGGCTTCATTGTCTCAGTTCCACCTCTTTAAGTGTTGACAATATTTTCGCAGCGAACGGTGTTCTCCACAGAAAGCGCTTGCGCTCCCTATTGACCACGTACTCAATCAGCCCCAACAGGCAAATCCGCAGGTGCAAACACGCACACGCTTTGAATAATGCACTTTCATTCGGGCAGCATAACTAACATTATAAATTGATATATTGTTTCTCTTTCGCGAAGGCAACAGGGGAAACGCACAAGATGTCAATAATGCATTATTATTCAGGCAGCATAACTAACATTATCAATGGATATATTGTTTCTCTTTCGCGAAGGCAACAGGGGAAACGCACAAGATGTCAATAATGCATTATTATTCAGGCAGCATAGCTAACATCGCCAATGATTTGCTTTCACCGGTTAAAAGAACAAAAAAGAACATGACATTCCAGAGATAAAAAGGCACTCCCCAAGCTAAAGCTCAATGAGCGATCTAGCAATTATAGCGGCTTACGCAAACTGCTCAGCACCTTCGGTGCAAGGGGGCTATCGTCGTTCACTGATCCTCATCTCTTTTGGTACTGCCAGGAAGGCGATTCTTTCTCTTGTCCGAGGCTATTTGGACACCAAAAACTAAGTCTGGGGAAAGGAATCGGCAGCAAGGTTTTCCGTGAAGATGATCTCATGGAGAGACAGGAAGGGTCGGAGTTTGGTCATGTAATCTGTTGATGAATAGAACCTCCCGTCTCCAGAATGGTCTCACAGTCTTGCATCTCTAGACTAGGGGGTGTATTCATCAACAGTCTACATTCCTGCTGTGTGAACTGTGCAGATAGAGGATCGAGACCAAGAAACCCCACCGCGACCGCGCGACCCCGCCTTCGTGCAAAGCAGCCCAATCGCGGAAAGGTCTGCGAACCGGTCTGGATTGGACGCAGCGCCGGGCGGGTGACCGGGCGGTTGTGGCGGGTGAATTGGCCAATGTGAGGCTGGATCGTGCTCGCCTACAGAGTGCCTCACAACCCTTGGAGGATGAGGCGCGAGCGCGGTGCACTCGCGGTCCACGGGAAACGAAGGCCACGATCCGCACGAGCCCGAGAAAACCACGGGATGCGTCCGCGAGCGCGGTGAACTCGCGTGGCGAAGTCGTGTGGCGATGGGTGTTCGGAACCGTTCAGTTGATGGGGACAAGCTCTAGCAGCTATATAGTTTTACATGTTAAAAGAGTTAAAAGGGTGCTTCATAGATGGTACACTGCACACATTCGGCTGGTTGCACTTGATGCAGAGCCCAGGTGAGCAGTGTTGGGAAGCATCAGGAACTGGCTAAAAGTGGGTCCGTTTTGTGTGTCGCTTTGTCGGTTGTGCACAGGCATGACATGTGTGACATTAAGTTGAGGTACTTGTGGTGCATCAATACTCTAGTCTTTATGGTCCCCAAATAGATAGTGGCACAGTTCCAATACATTTTGAAAGGGCTTTTACTTTTCTACCAGTCTTTCTTCTTTTAGGTCACAGGTACGCCGGGTCCATGCTTTCTTGCGCCGGGGTCCCATCCTCCTCACGCCACCTTCGAGCCCATGAGCGTAAAGCTGGCTCGGCTTTTCAGCTTGAAAGAAAAGAAGAAGGACACCACACAGATGCAATCTTTGCAGAAATATATACATATATAATATCTCCCTCTATATATATATATAGACACATATATAATTATACATATACACTTCTTTTTTCAATCATCCTTGAACATTGCATCCCTGAACTGGAGGAAGTTGAATTCCATCCGATGTTGATCTTATCGAAGGAGCTACCGATCAGTTTATTCGTTTTGGATTTGCCTAGTGTCCGTACCGATCCGTTTCTTTCAACATCGAACCTCTGGATCTCCAGCTGAGATGTTACTGAGAACAGCCCATCTTTCGTGGTGCGCAGCCCAGAACCAGCCCGCTCCATGACCCTCGCCTGTGCTCTCTCCGCGCCATGCCCGACCGGTCCGCTGCTCTGCGCCGCACGCGGCCCACGGGTGCCTCCAGCGATGGCCTCCCGGTCCCACGCGGCCCACCGCTCGCTGGCGCTGGCCGTCGCGGGCCTCGGCGCCGTCGCGGCCGGTGGAGTGCGGGGGTGGCGCAGGAGGAGGGCAGGTGGGCGGTGGTCCCGCGCACGGGTGAGGCGCTTCGGTGTGAAGGTGGCGGAGGCCGAAGCTCTACAGCGGGCCTGGCTCTTTGATGCGGCCTTAGACATGGTGATGGATCTGGAACATCCAAGAGCTAAGGCAGTGAAAGCAGCTGCCCTGGTTGGTTTGCAGCGTTTCTCTGAAGCGCGTGAGGTTTTAGATGAGATCAACTGGAAAGATCTCCTGGTGGCAGCTGAAACCTACCTCGACCGAACGGAGTTTCTGCAACGCTGCAAGGTTCTGGAGCGTCAAAGTGAAACATCAGAATCAATGGCCGATGGCCATGGAGATGATGGAGACAGGTCTTTGGATCGATTTCGCTTTTCGGACGTCTTTGGGTCAATGCTCCAAGCCCGAGAAAAGAAACGGGATCCGGCCATGCCCATGACTCCGACGGCAGCCTTGTTGCCTCCAGTGTTTTGGAGGACATCTGAGTCGCTCTTTTCGAAGCTGTCTGGTTCAGAGCTGATGTGAAGCTTTTAGTATATAGTAGGTCCAAGTATGTTGACTGTTGATCAATTAACTCCCCATATAGGGATGTTGAACCCTTCCGATAGGGGAGGTTCATGAATCATCAGCAGCCTACAGGTCTGACTGTCCGATGGGTCCGGACGTCGTTGGAACCGTGGTCCAGACCAAGGTTCCTGAAGCTGCCGCAAATGTGGAGGTTCGATCCTCCTCCAGTGGACGTGGCCTCTTTGCCACCGGTCCCACAAAGGCTGGTGATGTCATCCTCTGTGGCCTTCCCCTGGCGCGGTGCCTCAATGCCTCTGGGGAGCCCCTGGTGCCCGCCTTGAGACAAGCTGCAGAGTGAAAGACTCAGTTGCCGTCTTGAACGCGTTTGTAGACTTAATTAGTTGCTGTCCTTAGGGAATCGTTCGGAGAGGTCCCCTTTGGTGAGGCCTCAGCAAAGCGTCACCCAGCAATGCCTTAAACGAAACTTCAAAGGCGCAGTCAAAGAGAGGGCAAGGGCGAACGTTTCCAGTCTCGATTGTCTTGCGCTTCTCTGAAGGCTCAGCCCTCACGTGCGTCGTGTGCTGTCGCTGCTCTCAGATGGCACGAACGACACGAAGGCTGTCTCTCTGAAAGACTTCTCCTGGCGACACGACATCTCCCCACTGCGAACGGAGACGGGGATGATGCCCATGTCGGAGGAGCAACTGGCCCAAGTGGTTCGGATCAACAGCTTTGACCTGTTCGGCTCGTCTGCCCTGTTTGGTGCGCAGCTTGACGGACAATGGTTTAAGTGTCGCGAACAGGTCGATTCAATGGTTTAAGTTTTGCTTTATGCAGGGAGATGGTTAGAGCTTTTCAATATGAGCCCTAAGGCAAATGCAGAATCATCACACAGGTTGGCTAAACATATATTTCTTTATATATATATAGTATAAACAGTATGTGTGTATATATATATACACACACACACACACTTTTTTTGAGGACGTCAATGGCGAATCACTCATGCTGTCCAAGTGCATCTTCCATGTCCGTAGGGAATGCGATCTTCGTGCGGGCCAATCGCCCTTCACCTCCCGGCGGGGAGATTCAGATTTCCTACTTTGATGTCTTAAAGCCATTTCAGCAGAGACAGAAGAGGACGCAGAGCTGGTCCTTTCAATGTGAATGCCCACGATGTAACTTCGAACGGTCGTTGCCTTCACACTTGCAAGAAAGTGGTACAACTGTAGATGTGGTTGAGTCGGAAACCGTAACTTTTCCAGAGCTTGAAGCGCAGTGGTTGAGAGCCAGTCATTTTTCGGTCTACATGAAAGAGTTGGAAGAGTTGTTTCCTCTCAGCCAGGAAGCAAAACAACTGAGGAGGACTATGTTGAAGGCCATGGAAGTGACTGACCCAGCTTCCTTCACACATACAAAGCTTTCATTCTTGGATTGGTTGGCCACAAAATCCTTGAAAGGTCCTCAGGATTCAGAGACACTCCAAGCAATGCGATACTGTGATTGGGTTCATCAAGCTCGCTACGGCAAAGTTGCAGGAAAGGAGCTGGTGCCACTCCTGAAGTGCACACAACAAGCTACAGAGTCCACAGGGGTGGGCGAAGAGTTTTGCAATCCTTGGATGAAGGTGGCACGACCAGCCTTGTCGTCGCCGAGTTCAGCGAGTTCAGCTGCTGTCCCAAGTGAATCTGCGAAGTCTGCCACGATGCTTCTTGATTAAGGCGTGAAGAGTCAGAGAAAAGGGCACTCGCATGGAAAAGCTTGAAGGACCTTCTCATCCTCACCAGAGAGTGGATTGGGAAGACCAAAAGCCACAACTCAGGTGGTGTGGCCCAAGATAAAAGGCTGAGTTGAACTCGTTACTTTCTTCGGAACCTGCCTCCTCACTCGTTCCTTTCAAGCCCTTCCCGGCAGCCCGTTTTGGACCTCTCCCCCCGGCAGCCGCCATCGGCCATTCTCGTCTCAGGAGGAGGCGCAGGCGGAGCACGGCTGCGTGGACTTGCGTCTGGTCTCGGCCACCGACATGACCGAAGATCCGCTCCTCGACCCTTCAGCTTTTTGTTGTTGGTGTTCTCAAGCCTCCGCTGTCCCAAGCGGTGTGTTTAGCGAGAGCACATGGAAGCCACAAAAAGCTTTGGGTCGTCCCAGGACTTCTTTTTTGTGAAGGAACGGCGTGATGCGCGGTGTTTGGAGAGGGGGAGGGCCGAGCTTGGGAGTTGAGTTGGAGGTGACACATGCAACCGGTTTGGAGCTGGGGGGCTGGGCGCATCGTCGCACGGGTTTTGACGCGCAACCTCGACCGGTCACGAAGCATGGGCCAGTATACGTGATATAAATGGATGAATCTCGTTATATCATGATTGCTTCCAATCCCTTTTTGTTCCAGCCATTTGCTCACTACAGCAATAATATAGACCACCTGGATCGTTTGTTCACTTAGGCCATTGACTTAACTCCCTTTCCGTTTTTTGTTCACTGGGCCATGGCTGCTTTCTTCTTACGGCTTTTCACACCAGGCGCGCGGTGTTCGCGCTCGGAGCGCAGCCCAGGTTCTCGAGCTTCCGCTTCGATGGAGTCTTGGGCTTGGGGCTGCCGAGCCTGTCACAGACCTTGGAGTTCAACTTCCTAGAGGCACGGGCGGGTTCGCCGGTGTGGTGTGGGAGGGGGTTTGCTGGGAGGAGGGCCGGCTATGTGGATGTTGGGGCCCTGGGCCCTGGTTCAGAGAGTTAGAGCCAGTCTTGAGGGTTCTTGAGGTGGGTATATGATCAAAGAAGCAGGCAAGACTGCAGAGTTTGCCAGTACCAAGAAAGAGTTGGCCAATCCTGCACGACTTTCATGGAAGCTTCTCGTGGTGCGGGTCACTGGCAGTTGTGGTCGCATCTCAACCCGGTCCCGGTCCAGTTGTGCTGCACTGGATCGCAGGTCCTCTTCCGAATTCACCATGACTCTTCCAGGTTTGTCCACACCCGGAACGTCGCCGGTGTCGTCGCCCGGAGAGGCCTCGTCTGGAGCTCGGTCCTGGACGAGCCTCGTGCCCGACGGGGAGACCCTTTTTTTCCCGCTGGTCGGCGCCGCTTTTTCTGCCGGTCGCGTCCGTTGTTTTCTTTTTCCGGAGACGTGCGCCGGTGGCCGTGAAGGAATTGGGGGTTGGGTAATGTGAAGAGTCTTGCGAGGAGAAGAAGCACATGCTCTCACCTTTCGGCTATGGCGGCAAGGTGTTGTCCTTTCTTGTAATGACCCTCCACATCTGGAAGAGGTTTTGCCCTTCAATTTGAGGGCTTTGAATTCATGGTAACAGTCTACACTGGCCAGAAGAAAGTTGCGCTTGTTGATGTTGAAACTCATAACAACCCTATCCCCCTAGAATCCTACACCATGAGACAAGGGAAGGTGTGGGCGGTCATTTGTCACCCCGGAAAGCCTTTTATTACTATAAATTTAAAAGGGTGTGATAATTGACCGTCCCACACCTGCCACGAAAATTAGACTTGTTAATTCGATCCGCCGCTGACCTCAGAGTGTTTTGTAAGAAGGCTAACAAGCGTAAACTTTTGTCTGCCTGAAGTATACACGACCTTCCAATTTGCGGGCTTTTTGGACACCCCTTAACATCACCTCTAAGAGACGATTTCTAGACACTTCTTTTTCTAGGAAGGTCAACCATGAAACAGGTGAACCATGAACATTTCCATGACCGATCGTGTGGTTGCCACGACTTCATCGTTGGTCGCTGCGTTCCTCTCGTTGGTCGCCGGCAGGAGCGCATGTTCGGCGTCTTCCTGGCCAAGTCCCCCGAGGCGTCCCACGAGAGCGACGCGAGAGCGGCCGGGTGGAGGTGGCAGGGAGAGTATAGCTATCCAAGCAAATCTTGTCAGGATCTTTGGCCTTCCCTGAGAATAGAGACCTTACAGAAAACACCAAGGAATCAGAAAAGGAAGCTCTGCAGCAGGAGCTCTTCTTACGTATTCTTTTTATCCTTTGTGAGAGGTTACGCCACAGAAGAAATTGTTGTTTCCACGAAGAGTTACAGGTTTCCACCAGAGTGTGCTTGAGTTCCCCATTCTCAGACTGGGCGAAGCGGTCTCGAAACCGCTGCGAAGCATTCCGCCACCGAATTCTTCCGAATTCCGCCTTCCGCATTCGTGGCACTCGGTGGCACACCCGGAGTACTGGGTCGTACCTCACACCAATTCATGCCGCCTTGCAAGCCAACCCAAACTCATGGAGTTCCCATGCGCTGAGCTCAGGAGGAGAGCGAGATCACCTTCGGTGGGTGGAAAAGTGGGACACGCCCAGCGACCGCCCGACCCGCAGTCGATCGGTTTGGGTGACGAGCGAAGGCGTCGTTCGGTCACCACGTGACCCGATCGCGCCGTGCGTAGCGAAGCCTTGTTGCTAGTAGTTTAAGGCCAGGAGCCCCGAACGTAGCGTCCGATGGCTCCTATAGTAGCCCAAAAAGGCAGTTTTCCCGGGGCATGGCAGACATTTGCATGTTCTTGCACCTCTTTTTCTCGCTGGAAGGTGAACAAAAACTGGTGGTCATGCATGTGAATGCGTGTGAATCTGTACTTGTTTCGATTGAAGGACTTGACGTGTGGGGACGTGGGATTCCTCTCTGACGTGGGTCCGAGACGAGACAACAAGTCGAGCCGGTGACGAGCCGAGACATTCAGCGTATCGAATGAAGGACGAGCCGAGCCAGGAGATGGCCTTCTTCATCCCTTCATTTGCTCATCCCTTCATCCATGTTCATTGCATTTGCACTGAGAGACACACCAAACCTCCTATCTCCAAAGCTGTTTGGATCAACTCCTCCGTGCTTGCATCAAAGCGAGACGTCCCTTCAACCACCCTCAGATTCTCATCAACTCTTCCCTTTCACTCGGGCATGATCTTCGACGCACCTGTGAGTTTCAGGAAGTGTTTTTTGCACCGCATCCCCCCCCCAAAAATTATGCTCATCAAGATGCTGACGATCCGATCTTCACAGGGGTTCATGTTGGGACATATCTATGAGGGCTATTAGAGTGTTGCTCGACCGTGGATCAGAAGGACGCAAGAATAGATCCGAAGTACCCGGGTTTGGAGCTTGTGGATGAAACTGCAAGGACATCCGGAGGTTTTGGATCTAGTTTTGCGCCCAGCTTTGGACATCCAAAGGCCTTTGAAAAGGAGAAAACGGTCCAGCCAACAAAAGCTGCGAACCCAAGGCGAACACATGACGAACGGCAGCGAGCTGGTCTCGAGCCTTAGAGACTTCCTTTTGGTCTATAGGAAAGGATGAGCTTTTGGGGAAGGAAGAGGATCACGCTTTTGGAAGCTTGATCTGTGGAGGATGCTTTTTACCTCTTTTGGCCCAATTGGATGCTAACCCTGCTTCGACGTGTTCTTTTTTGTGTGTTTTTCTTCACTGCGGGTGTTTGAGCTTTGAGCTGGCGCTGGAGGCCTTCTGCAATGTCCAAGACAGCGAGGCAGAGTGCTGGGCGGGTGTATCGCTGCAGTGCATGTTCAGTAACATCATGAGGTTCATGCAGCATATGCACGAAGCTGGCTACCCGACAAGAGCTTTGATCATTTGGAAGTTGCTGGGATTCTTGTCATGTCACTTCCAATTGATGGGATTCGGAAGGCTGTTTTCTATACAGAAGCACTGCTTCACCACTCATTCTTTTTCCCAGAGCGCAGGGTGGTCGACCAGACCACCTCTCTCCGAACGTCGCCAGACCACCTCTCGGCGGTCCGACGCGCCGTTCACGGCAGGAGGGTTATTGGCAGCTGGACGTCTTCGGCATCAAGGCCGTCGTCCGCGGACGTTCGCGGGGGAAGGATTGGGTGGCCCGGTGCCGGTGGGTTCATGAAGTCCGGTTCGGTGGGTCACAGAGGAAACAGCAAGTTCGTGCACAGAGGGATGGCCAATGCACGAAAGCTGAGAGGCTGGCGACAAAGAGGACGAATCTAAAACAACACGGCTTTCATTTTCAAGGACATCAACATCACTGATGTTCGAACAGCTTTCGCTCTCTCTCTCTTCGCCCTCACCCGTCTGCAACAATGGCACGTCACCCCTCGCCTGCCTCGCCTCGCCTTGGTCTTCTGCTCGGCCTCCGCGCGCCGCGAGAGCTTCGCTTCGCTCGACCCGAGGCGAACGGTCAAGTCTTAGACTTCTGCGCCAAGGGCTGCCGAGCCGTGGTGGACCGAGCGACGCACATCGCTGTGGAACGACGAATCGGTGGGTCGGGGTGGTGTGGTGAGAATGGAAGAAGCAGGCAGGTACGGTGCAGGTGGTTCTGTGTTTGATGGTGATTCTCGTGGCTTTGATGTGGTTTCTAACGTGAAAAAGCATGTTCAAAACAGATGACCTAACTGTAGACTCAGAATGAGAAGAGTCTACATTCGGACTTTTAGACACCTGTCGTTCACAATGTCGGTCCATGTGTTCCGCGGCGGCCGGGGGGATATATGTAGTATGGTCAACCTCACAAAATGGTGTGTGCAATGGGCTTCAAGTAGAAACGCAACAGAACAACATGCAATTCATGCACTTCACAGACCCAGATGAAGCAGATCTGTTCATGCACTTAGATTCTTCTCCACTTGATTCTGGGAACCAGAATTGGAAACGAGGACAGCAATGGACTGAATCAGTACGCCCATGGACAGGCCTTCACTATCCTTCACCCTCAGAAGTCGTGGCGCAGTCTGCAGTCCGTGGCGATCCCTCCCAGCGGCGGCAGGACACCGGGTCGTCCCTGCTGGGGGTGCCCAGCGACCTGGGAGATCAGCTCGCTCGGGAACCCGGACGGGCCGTGGACCGGGCGGTCCACCGCGTCGGCTGGCTCTGCCTGCGGTTCTTTTTCTGAAAAGGTCCAGAGCATCGCTGTGTTTTTCCGGGTCAGGACATGACATACTCGGTGGTGGTTTTTGGGAGGAGGACCGAAGAGCAGGACCCCTTCTGGACTCAAAGCCTCGGTCCTGGACCTTTCTCTGGAGGGGATTGATTGAAGAGGATTGCCAGGCGTTTGGGCGATTGGTCGATGCTGGTGCCATTGGTCGTGGTGTTTTGGGGCCGCAGAGCAGAGCCAGCGTGAGGGTCAGCTTGTGGGCTGCGGAGTCGATCTCATTCGGCTGAACATGGGGCCTTCTGGTTCCAAGAACCATGCCCTGGTTCCGAGATCCACATCTTCTGAGAACCACTGAGACTGGGTTGTAGGTCCATGCCGAACTCGCCCCGGGAACCCGGGTCTCGAAACCCGGGAGTACTTTGGTTGGGACCTAAGGAGGCTGCCGCGACCAGTTGCCCTGACCCCCTGACGAACGCCGGACGGACTCGGCGTCACTGCACGGACTGAGGGGAAGTTCATGGGGACCCGTGCCGGGTTCGCCTCGCCTGACGATGAAAAGAGAGAGACAGATGGAATGAATGACCATGACCGTCCACAGAGACCACGACCTTTTGTTCTTTCGTGGAGCGAAAGCCACCTGGGAAGATGGTCGTCCTCAAGCGGAGGACTCATGGTACGTCCCCGAAGTTCCTATGGAGACCAAAGAGATAGAACAGTACATCCCTTCATCCCAACATGTCCTCGTGCCACCGTGCCACTCTTTGGGGAAGCACCTGTCTAAAGGATCTCCTTTCTCCCGTCATGCAATCCTTCCCTTTGTGTCGGCGGTCTTCCGCCCGTCGTCCGGCCTCGGTTGAGGTCGACTTGCTCCGACATCCAGCGCATGAAGGCGCCACATTGCGGCGTGCCACCGGCGACCGGAGCGACGGAGCGTGGGTTCACTGACCACCGTGACGTCGAACCTAGGTCAGTGCAACCTGGACATGGAAAAACTAGCAGAATCCATGTCCAGGTGTGGGGCCCTGGCCTAGGCCATCTTTTTCACACCGCGAGTGAACTCGCGCCGTGCGACATCAGCGTCACGAACCCCTTTGGACCCCAGCATCGCCACCCGCGGGCAGAGGGGGTACCCGTCCCCACACAGCACCGGGGAAGTTCGCCGGCGCGCGGCGGCTGTGGATGGCTGCGATGGCTCTGTGGAACACAGCAGTTCCATTGGAGTTGGTCTTTGGATCCATATCCAATATCCAGGGGCCGTGGATGTGAGAAAACGCACCCCGTACTTCCTCCAACTCAGCACCCCCCGTACTTCACTGCTAGTTCTTGTTGGTGCAGTTGCAGCCTTGGCACGAGTTGGGCCATTCCGAGCCGCTCCGCTTGCAGCCGCGGGGCTCTAAACTTGACGACCGAACCTGAATCTATTAGCTTAGGTTGAGAACATCAGCCCTGCCATGACCGTGTGGCTTGGGCTCATGAAGATGATGTTGCACGATGGATTTATTTTTGTGGTTGGGCCTTCGATTTTTGATCAGGGGCCGTGAAGACCTCCAAGGGCCTTTCTTGACCCACGGGAGGTACCACGAACGGATCGTTCGATTGGAGTCGGCATCCGCACGATCCAAATGGTTTCAGCGTTTGGTTCGGGTCCAGACCCCTGCGGGTCCAGGGCCCAGGGGCCTCAGAATGGGAGGGTGACCTACGAATGGTTTTTCATCGAACAGAGGCAGCTGGGACAACTCGAGGCCTGGTTTGGAACATGCATCCTCGTCCCACTGAGAGCTGGGGTCCATGCAACTAGAGCGGTTGCACGCAGTGCTTGGGTTGGGGATCAAGAAAGAGCCGCAGTGTTTCTCCGAACAAGGATGGAAGGGAAAAGGATGGATTGTGGAGGGCGTGGCTATGGGTCTCCCAGAGTCCACTGTACTGGTAGAGGTTGAACAGACCATTTTGCGAGTTTTTTTTCTTTCTTTGCATGCGAAGGGCTGGTCTTTGGAGGCCACAACAACCGAACCAGCGCGGTATACCGTATACCGTATACCTGATATTGTATACCCAGAACTTCTAATGACTTGTTTTTTCCCTCAGTCATGATCCACCACTTGTTAGGAGGTAAAATGAGTCATTTGTCACTCAGCAAGAGGTGGAGAAAGCCAAGCCTTGGTTTTTGACGAAGAGTTCGTCCAGCCTCGAAGGGCCAATGGCCGTTTGCTCTTGGTGCTCACCCTGTGGAACGCGGCGCTGAGCCTTGGCGCCTCTTCCGACTGCACGGGCGGTGTGTGCGAGGCGGAAGAGGCCAACTTCTTGCAGACGCAGCCACTTGGTGAATCCAAAAAAATGAAGGGGACAATTCCGAAGGTTTCTGGATCTTCCAACCGTGACCAATTTCTGCCGAACTTCATCCATAAAAAGCAGCCATAGTTGGCAGACATTTGGCATCGTTGATAGATCCAGATGTGTCATGTAAGGTGGTGGGTCCTTCTACTTGTCAGCGATTTCTGGTGGCAAACCCTTACAACTCTGAGTCGTCCGTTGGCAACCCACCGATGCGGATGGTTGTTGAACATGCTAGTCTGGAGAAAAATTCATTTGACCTCTTCTGATAGAACATTTGGTCAATCTTAGACTTGTTAAACTAGGACCTCTTCATCTGTCCTGACACCAAGAGTGTGTCCACCAGAAACTCAAGAAACTCATGCCTTCCTCTAGAAAGACCCTTCCTCACTTTCTGTGTTCTCGAGTCCTGAACCTTGCGATTCTCAAGAGAAAGAACACGCCATGCAACACGCTAGGCCCTAGGCATTCTTCAAGATTCCCATGTCGGACGTGCGGCACTCCGCCTCCAACTCCCGCTCTGTGATCGATCCCCATCCCCGGACTCTCGCAGACGGACGCTCTCGCAGACGGACCCAGGCGACGGAAGCCACATTGGATGAAGAAGAAGAGGCAGAGCGCCTCGACGTCCGAGCCACTGTGTGGCTTGTCTGGGATGCTGGGCAGCACTGTCGGGGTCCTCCGAAGGAGGCCGAAAAGGTAAAACGGAGCAGAGACGCCCTCGAAGTCTGGAGCCACTAGCGATTTGGCGAGCGCAGCGCATGTAGCAGCGCATGTGTTTTTCTGCTGCGTCAGCAACGTGAGTGTTTTTGATTTACAGACCCACTTGAAGTCCAAAGGACAGTATTTTGCTCATGGAAGTGAAGTGAAGTTCTTCAGGGAACAAGAAGCTACTAACTAGTAACAAGTGCATCGCTACTAGTTACTAGTAGCCAAGTGCATTACTACTAGTAACAAGAAGCTACTAGCTAGGTGGGAGGCCATCGCTACCAGGTTGAAGGCCATTGTTATTGGATTGGAGGCCATTAGTAACAAGAAGCTACTAGTCTTTTTAAACGTCTTGGACTGTCAGAGCAGAGCTTCCCAGAGGTCAGTGCCTGCGAAGGAGGTGGTGATTATGGACCTGGTGTGTGGTCCATGTTGGATATCTTTCCAAAAGACTTGGACGTCTGCAGGTTCTGGTGTTGGAGTTTGCTCGTCTTTTGATGCTGGGGGATCTTCTGGAGGTGGTTCACAGGGTCCTTTTTCGGCGAAAGCTTGTGAGGCAAAGCCACACCAACATTCTTCAGTAGGTAAAGTACCAGAAACACAAATTGCTTGGTGTACACCCATATTGATGGAGAAGAACGCATCATCTACATGGGGAGTCCGTCTGAAAACACTACAGTGCCACTTCCAGAAGTAGGAAGCCATATGCCCTAGAAGTCGCACCACCATTGTTTTAATAGCCTGAATCCCCAACCACCCTTGTTTTACGAAGGGTTTTACACCACAAAACGCGATCAGGGGCCGCGTTTACAGCCATAGCCATACAGAGGCTTTCGAGCGCAGCCATCGCTCGCTGGGGAGATTCGATGGGTCCGGTGAAGAATGCCGATCAGCACCAAACTCAGGAAGTCGGTGTTGATCGTGGTGGACATGCAGACGCCCGGTGGACCGCGGCGGACCCGGGCGCGCGCGCGGCGAGGTGGTCAACCGGTCTGACTGTTTTCAGCCAGTCCCAAGTCGAAACAACAGTGGTTGTTCCCGCTATATGGCTTAGCCTTGCTTGAGATCCTTGACATAACTCAGTGGTTGCTTGGAGAAACATCCATTAGTTTCTGCTTGGGACTGGAGAAATCCAGGTGGATATCCCTTCTTTGGTCAGCACCGTTCCGGCTTTTCATGCTGCGACGGCCCCCTTTCCTTCGTGTCACACCGGGCGTCGCCTCGGTTTTGTCGCCCTCGCCCGCTTCGGTGCTCGGGCGGTCCGCCAGACCTGGCGAGACTCGCAGGTGTTTGGTTTTTTTTGTGGGCTCAGGTGTGAACCAGACCGGCCAGGTGTTGTGTTCAGGTGTTCTGTCTGACATGAGAGACCTCATCGAGATCTGACTGGGGCGTCTTTCATGGGCCGGTCTGCTTTTTTCCGGGCCCAGGAATGACTTCATCTCTGGCAGTCTTCCGGTGGACGGCGGAGCTCCTTGCTTCGCACCCGAAGCGGGGGCGTCGAACGGAGCGGGACGGGTTGGGACTGGACTCGGGACGTGTCGGCCGCCCGTGTGAACGGGCAGGAGCATCGAAGGCACGTTGGTGTCACCATAAAAGCAGCCCAGAGCTTTTCATGTACGATTCTGACAATCATAAGGCGGGTCAACTATTTTACTGTATAGTCAAATTTGGGGCCGTTGGGGTTTCCAGAATGGTGAGGAAAACTGCGGCGCGATAAACGTCCACGCGCTTTTCTCCTCCTTCTGCCTTCGCTGTCAGAGAAGTCGATGAGCCAGCTGTTTTCTTAAACCTCTTTGTGGCACGAGCTGTGTGGCGAGATCATCACACTGCTGAGGCAGAGATCATTCCGATCATCAACGAGCTCACCAAGCTGAAGGATTGGTCGTTCATCGCCTTCACCCAGGCGCCGGAAAACCGGAAAAACCGGGGTCTCCGGTCTCCGCGGAGACGAGGCCGTTCGAGCTGCGACTTGTTACGACGTCCCGTGTGGCCACCGGGGTTCACCAAGATACAGGGGAGCACAGATCGGGGAGCACTGGGAGGCACCTCCTGGATACCACAGGAGGACGTTGTCCAAAAGGCTGGAGTGGAAGGAGGTTGTTCTGGTGGATGGGTGGGGAGGTAGACCGAAGACCGCACCCGATAAAACATATGTAACACAACAGGGCTTGTGACATGTTTTTTGAAAGTGTTTGGTGCTGGCTCCTTGAAATCCAGTCCGTGAGCTGGTTGAATTCTTTGAGCTCTATTTCAAGACTTTTTTCACTTTTTCAACAGATTAATTTCCAGAGGCTTGCTGCTCAACTCCACTATTCAGTTCTTGCTTCACAGAGTTCTGATGCTGGATCGGAGGCCTTGGTGAAAGAGCCTTGCGCTTGAAAGAACTTAATAAACCGATCGAGTGTTTCGTCTCTTCTGCCATCGTAGGCTCTCGTCGCACGAACTCCGGGTCCCCTCCCGGCGTTCGGGCGTTCGTGCGGGCGTGCATGGGCGTTCGTTTAGCGTACAGTAGCTGCTCGCCTCGCCTCGGGCCGCGGATGTGACCTCGTGATGAACTGATCAGTTTCATCTCTTCTCTGGGGTAGGGGAAGTGGATTCAGGGACCTTGGGACTATTAATTTTCACAACTTAGGCCCTGGAGTTTCTTTTTCCTCCCGATCACCTCGCCATCTTCCCAGCCATCTGCTGTTGCCATCTCGTTGAGGTGATCTGTTTCCATCAGCTGCTTCCAGCTCCATTAAAAATTAAAAACGGAAGACCTCCCAGTTCGACCCCCCTGGAAAAAGGACCATACTTTAAAACCAGATCCAAACCCATTGGTTGGGTGCTCGCTGGGGAACTCCAGTGGCA